ATATTCGGTTTAACATTTATTTCAGTACTTGAAATAAATTTAGTAATTGGTAAGAGACTTGTCGTACTACGCCACTTTTTCCTCTAGCGGAAATCGAGTTCACTCGTGGATGAACATCGAATTCGACTAGGAGAACCTATCTTCTATACGAAAACAAGACCGCCGTTTTCTCTTCGGCACGAGTGATTAATGACCAAGCGCACGGCCCGCCGGTCCATTTGTTTAAACTCGAATAAGGTCGGAACAACGAAGCTGGCTCGCTAATCGGACAGCAGAATGTTACGATTATAAAATCAACCTGACAGGAAGCATCGGGTTACGACTAGAGTTAAAAACGCAATTAACCTATTCCAGGAACGGGACACGCTTAGTCGGAAAATTAAAATTACGGTCGGCAGGTAGAACGTCGACCCCTTTAACACGGCATGTGCAAATATTGGCGATGAAAGCTTTCCCAAATATTTGATCTATCAGGTAACCGTAAACTCGAGACTACTTTCCCTGTAACTGGTCTGTTTACGCATCAAATAGGCAACGATCTTTGGTAAACAGTGGTAATCTCTTGTTTACGTCCCTGTAATCCTAACCCGATTAGCAGCTACGTACGAGTTAGCGGGACAGATCCGACTAATCTTGTTTCGTGGCGGGGTACGCGATCCGATCGGCCCCAAATGGGCTTTCTTTTCTTACAGAAGAGTCGTGAACGACCACGTTACGCCGATCATCGTGTGAAAACTGCAAAGTCTCGCTCCATTAGCTCCGAAGACTAGACCCTATTGTCGGATCCATTGTCGGGGAACGTGTCCTCCCCTCTCTCTTTCCTCCTCTTCTTCCTATTTCACTCTGCTCGTCATCTACCTCGGTCTTCTTTTTTCCCTCTCCTTTCCCCTCCAACGACCCCTCTCACGAGTTTTCTTCCAGATCCGAGCATAAGTTAGGAAACCTGTCAAGACTAGCGACCTGCTGATCCCAATGATGCTCCCTTCGACCAGGTAAATCGCGTATAAAATTGACCCGTAGCAACGAAGAAAAGATTCCATTCTTAATGACGTCGAGGAAGACTAACCTTCGAGTCATCATCCACAATTCGAGGATGCAACTCGAAATCCTATCGGAACCGAGGATAAGGGTGCAGAAAGAGTGTGGGGGGGGGGGGGGGGGGGGGGAGAAAAAAAAGAGAAAACGACACCGAACGTTACGGATGATTATTGTACGATAGATATTGATCGATGAATATTGTCAGTCGAGTGTCTGATTCATCAGGTTCGTTAAATCTCCGTGACGATTTCAAAGCGACCCAGAACCAGCATCGATTTTCGAACGAACTATAAAAATTAGTGAGTTACGATAAACTCTAGGAAAGCGTTCTCTATTCGGGAATATTAGTTCTCCGAGGCGATAGCTCATGTTTATGTGCGCGGGGAACCCACCGTCTTCCACAAAAGAGCGCCGAAAGACTGTTATAGCCCGAAAGAAATATGTTACGAGACTTCCCGTGTCCACTTTCTATAAAATAACGCCGCCGGCCATTCTCCGCGTCCAGCAGCACCAGCGGCACACCGATCTCAGTGCGATCGGTAAACTCCGAGGAACACACCGAAACCCGGGGAGATGTTATTTAATTTCCAGTAACGGGTTTTAAATACGGTGGAAGTGTCGTTCCCTGCGGGTATAAATCGGGGAAAAATACGAGAAATCTGGGGGGGGGGGGGGGGGGGACCGTCGATTTCTTATTGCGGATCGCCAGGGGAATCTAACCTGTCCCGTCCCTCCCGATTTGCATCGGTCCACCGCCCTTGAATGTCTCCCGAAAAATGCACGTCTTCTCGCCGAACGTTTCAGCCAACGCACAAAGCGTACTTTACACCCCCGCGGATACCCTCCGTTTACCGATTGGACACACACCGGACGAAAGTATACCTCGGGTCTAACGTTTTTCCTTTCCTCCTGGTTCTTCGATGACCAGTCGAAGAATCGACTTTTTAAAAAGATCCGCACACGATGGTCAGACTTCTTCTTTTTTTTTTCGGGGATCGTCAGGACTCTGACCAATGACGGGAAGGAACGTTGCAAGTGTTCCGACGTAACGTTATGGTACTTCGACGACTGTAAAAACACGTCGGAGTCGGAAATGTATCCAGAGAATCGTACAACGGGAAAATGAATACTTGCGTTTCGTAGCAATAAAGAATAACACCTAACGGCGGAGGAAGGCACAAGTTTCCGGAAAAATGTTCGTATTCTCAGGGGAATCGATCGTCCGCGTGGGAGTAGTGTTTACCGGTGGAGCAATTTACCTCTGGCCGAGACGTTAAGCGGCTTATTAGGGGACAATGGTTAGGCACAGGGAGAGGAAAACGAAGGGTTGCACTCTCTGGGCGTTGCCCCACCTTTCACCCTTCTGTCGCGACATCGTCGTAAGATTTACGACGATACCGCAGTTGCCAACGCTACCGGCACTATCGTTCGGACATGTGTCACCCAGTCGTCCGTCCAGTTTTCCATGGTTTTCCTGCTTCTGCCGGTACGACGCCATTCGATGAATTTGACAAACAACGACAAGCCCCCTGAGAGTCTGCTTGTGGTCGTCGGGAAACATTTCGGAAGATCGATGGTCGGGTCTCGCTTCTCTCTAATTTACTCTTTCCAGCGCACGTGCACGTGACACGCCGGACGATAATGTTTTCCGAGGACAGGAAACCTTGATAATCTTCATCCGGTATGCGACTGACGCATCCACGAAGTATTTAATATCGCAGAAATTCGCGTTATATCAATGTCTTTCTTGAAATTTGGCGATTGACGAATAAAAGTAACGAACTCGTTCGACGACGGTTAATTATAATCGCATACGATTAACGATTTTGCGGCAAAAGTCCACTCCCATAGATAGCAGTGGCCTTTGTCAACTGTCAAGATTATCGGAACAAATAGTTCCGTCTGGGCTGAACAAATAAGATTCGAAACGATCGTACGATAACAGCCCTTCTTGGATCTACGGTGCAACGATTTCGAGTTCATCTGTCGAAAGGCGACATCCTTTGGTAAAGTTATCTTTCACGCAGCAAGTGCAACGATTTGTCCCCGTTTTTGCATCGGTTGTCCGCCACGGGTATACCTGGACAGGGCTGCCGTTGCATTGTGCGCCCGGCAAGGCGCAATAATGGTGGCCTATCTGGTACGGATCGGTAGCGCGAAAGTGTCGTCACCTCGTCCTGCCGATGATCGCTTTACAGCCACCCATAAACCGATACTTTGTGCTCGGTCTGTAGTTCGCAGTGGCAGTTCGACGGAACGCATTGTGAATGCTCCCTTCCAACGTGGACCAGGATCTTCCATGGATTTATGGTACGACGTACGCCACAAAGCGTACCGAGAAACCTTGGGGAAACTGGTGCCCCGTTATCACGTGCTTCCGTGTACCCGTAGTAGCCGTCGCGGGCCTTTCCACGCTTTGATACGTCTTTGCAAATCTCGCCCGCCTCCACCAGGCAGCCGACAAAAGGCCTCTAAACACCGTAAAAATTCTACACTGACTCCTTTCACCCAGTTCACGAATTATCCCTAGGCTGTTCCAGTCAGACATTTCAATGAATTTTTTGCGGGACTGCGCAACCGTTTCCCTCGAAGAACATCCCTCTCGACGAGCGTTCGAAATTCTAAATTCAAAGTACTGTCGATACGACATAGACGGGAGAATCGAAATTACCAGGCATAAAATTAGAAATGGTGGACACGTATTTTTCGAGTACATTAACTGTAATTGTTTCACGCAAGACGCAATGTAACTTCCACAATTCGTTATCGTGTAATTATAGTAGCCGCGGGAAAAGGAAGACCCGGTGGCTAGAGAGTCCGTGTTTCGAACCGGAGCGTCACTGTCGTCCCGCAGGACAGCTAATTAAACCGAAATGTCTTATTCGCTAATTAAACCCGAACGATTAAGCTCATTCCTCCTGCCGTTACGACGTTTCTACCGATAATTGTTACCTACCAGGCCGACAGGACCTCGAATCTTGGGCGGTCGGATCCTGAAACAACGATTTCGCTCGATGATTGATTGCCGTTCGAACGATACACGATACGAAAGAAAAAGCTTTCGTATCGTGGAGGGGGAGGATTTTAGACAAGATCGAAAAAAATATGCCAACGTTACCATACTTTCCTAAATTAGTTGACATGTATCCTGACGAAACTAAACGCGGTATTATGTTGATCGTGTAGAATATTCGAAGATATGATAATTCTTTCAGGGGTTTCATCGATTTACATAAATGGCATCGAATGCATCGAGATCGACGAATGCAAGCTACCAGGGTGAACGATTATAATCGGATTAATGCATCCGCGTGTTAATCATTGTTAATGCACGATTAAAGATAAACAATTGTACGTGCCGTCTGTAAAAGATAACGATTTGTAAAAATTGTACGCGCTCTTGGGAGACGTATTTAGTACCGTAGAATTCACGACGGCTTTTCTCAGTGGCATGAGCCAGCCCCCAGGGACGACCACAAAAGGTGCGTAGCCTCGATCCTCTATCCTCGGAACGCAGGGTTGATTTATGAGTCGATGGAGGGGAGGGCGCATGCGCACCAGGCCACAGGATTCACTGGGGTCTATCCCCACCTCCATAGAGTAACCCCGGCGCAGCATTCAGCCTCCTCCCTTCTTCGTCGGTTCCTTGTCCACTCGGTTATTAAAACCGAGGCGACACGGTCGGCAACCAGCAATTATCTGGCGAACGCTCGGAGCCGCGCACGCTCCGATCCCGCGCACAAGAGCTCTCTCTCTCTCCTCAGTTTTGTCTTGGTTTTCGTTTTCGGCTCGACGTCTGACCGTCGCAACACCGTAACAACACACCGAGTGATCGAGATCGCGGGATTACTTTGTTTCTTATTCCGTTCCCGCGCGGATACACGTGCCGACAGCAACACATCGATCCACCGGAGATACAGTTCGTGACGAAGGAGATCGTGGAACAGCCAAGGAGTGAAGTGATGGCACAAGTGATGCAATATCAACAGGTCCGTTAAATAATACGATTCGCGTGAAGATACCATAGTTTTGGAATTCTAGTGCCGAAAGTGAATATACGTATCGTGTCTCCTGAAAAGATCTCATAATTTTATAATTTATATTAATCGGCAATCTTGCCGCGTGGCATTCGATGACGTTCAATTCAGATGTTTCATTTGTAGTATAATAAAATATTCTGTTCGTTGATTGTAATAAAAATTTCGAACCTGGCTCTAAGTATATATTCTTCGTAATTGCAGATGTGCATGCCAACGATGTCGCCCATGCCAGGCATGACGCCGATGTCCGGCTTACCGATGCCGATGCATCAACCAACCGCGATGGATTACGGTGGTCCAAGCATTCACTATCAGCCTTATAATCCGGCTTTGAGCAGTCATCACCTTCAGACCAGCCAATCCAGCTATTGGTATACCGGATCCACGAGTCACAGTCAAATTACCGAGCCGCTTACGCCTCCTGCTTACACAATGCCGACTGTACCGCCGACCAGCACAGCCTCGTGGACCACGCAAACTCATCTTCCTCAGCCTCAGCTCACAACGATCCCGACGATTCAACATTATTCGTTGCCGCCGAGCCCGCCGGAACTTCCGCCGAGCCCTCAGGACCACGCCAGCCCTTATCAATGGCCGTTGACGCCGCCGTCGGAGCATCATTTCTTAACCGCTACGGAGGAACCCGGAAAATCTGGCAGAAAATGCACCAGATGCAGATGTCCAAACTGTCAAACGGACAGTGGAGCGCATTTAGGCGTGGACGGAAAACGACAACACCTGTGCCATGTGCCTGGTTGCGGCAAAGTGTACGGGAAAACGTCTCACCTGAAGGCGCATCTCAGGTGGCACACCGGCGAACGACCGTTCGTCTGCAATTGGCTGTTCTGCGGCAAAAGATTCACGAGAAGCGACGAGTTGCAACGTCATCTTCGAACCCACACAGGCGAGAAGAGGTTCGCCTGTCCTACGTGCGGCAAGAGATTCATGAGGAGCGATCATCTGACCAAACACGTGAAAACTCACGAGAACCAGAAGAGGAAAAGTTCCACGAGCAAGAAGGAATCGAACAAGGAGAATTCTGTACCCGTGGTGACCGGTCAAGACGCGTATCCTCCGATCGGCGGACAGTATACTATGATTTAAACTTTCGAACACGCGGGATGCGTGGCTCGTTCGAAAACTACGTGACTGGGTGGAGATCGCGCGGTGTTTGTCCGTCCTTGTACAACCTAACTAGATCGTTAACGAAAGTTCCTGCTCGCCGTTGTAATTATTGTACATACCAGAGAAAATTGTTGTATATTTTTGTAAATTATGCGTTAATTTCGGTACATGTAAATACGTTATATAATCCGAATTAAAAGAAGAAACGAATGTTTTTATAATACGATCGTCTACACTTTTATTTCAATCCTGAATCAATATTAAAAGCTTTTTAATATATTTCTAACATGTCTCCGTGGAATGGGTGTGATCAGAACGAACGTGAATTTTATACGGACCGTAACGTAGATTTACCGTGAAACTTCGCATAATAACGAATCATCCCCCTTGTCGTATATCAGGTTCCTCCCTGACGTCTTCCTGTCATACGATACACCGTGAGTCCCGCCCAAGGAGCACAATGCTACGCAGATACCTACGTCGAAAACTAGCCCTTCGCGATGATTTTCTACCTGGCAGGTGTTCCGATTCCAGCAGAAAACTAGAAAACTGTCATTCCACGGAAACTACCCCAAGAATCCCGATTCCGTCTCCTACGACACGTTACATCCTTCCAACGGAACCGACCCGATTAAAATTCAAGGGACGCTGGTGGGACGTAAAACATCGTATACAGGGGGTGAAATATTTTTCACGGTTTCCCGCAGAAAAATCCAATCGAGGGAGGGGGACGGGAAATTCGCGAACCGCGTACGGCACTGTGACGGGCTGTTTCATTCGTCTTCCCGCCAAGAGATGGCTGCACAGTGAATGGAAAAAGCCCGCGTAGCCCCATTAAGGGGGCGGCGCGCTGTAGCCCCGGCAAGGATTCATGGCTGGCGCGTAGAGGTAGAGGTAGAGGGCAGAGAGACAGGCAGACGCGAAAGACAGAGGCAGATGGAAAGCTGGATGGCCAACGGTGAAAGGGAGACGGTCGAGGAGACAGAACGTATCCACGAGAGCAAGACGGTGGTCTAAAGGGAGGAGCAGGGTGGAGGGGATGGGGGAGGGAAGGGGTACGAAAACGGAATAAAACAAAAGAGGCAGCCGCGGAGCAAATTATAGGGAAAAATAGGGAGGGACGAGGCGGTGGAGGCAGCGCACCAAGCCCCGTGGTGCGGTGTATTCGCGGTGGAAGACGATCAGGTGGATGGGTGGAAGGGTAGGAGGGGAGGAGGGGTGGCGCCAAGGCAATTCCAGGCTCGCGTTCAACGTTCCCCGGGCTGGAGTACCGCGGATAGCCGCGAAGTTAGTGCGCAAGAGATTCAAAGAGAGTTCGCAGAGTGACGAGAGTCTCCTGGTGTCGTTCTCTTCCATTCGCCCCTCGTCTCTTCAGAGAGTGTGTCCGAACACCACGAAGAGAGAGAGAATCGGAACCGCCACGTTTGGGAAAGAGACGTACGACGAGAAGAGACGCGCGAGCCAAAACGAATCGGCGGGATCGCACGTTCGCTTTTGATTAGAGGGAGAGGGAGAGCGAGCGAAAGAGGGCGAAAGAGGAACAGAGAGACAAGCGCAACAGTACACAGCTCTCTCTTACGTGTTACGCGCGGTCAGTGCGAGAGGCTGCAACGTGCCGCGAGCATGCGTCTGCGACGGACGGCCCTTGAGGCGGATACGCAACACGCCGACTCGTCGTCGTCGTTGTCGTCGTTATACCGTCACCGTTGTCGTCCACACCCGTGAATGCTCGTTTCTCGCCGTACACACCGGATGCACGCGCCGACGTCGTCGATAAAACGAATAAACCGGCGAACAGGTTCGTAGCGGCGCGCATGCCACCACCGATCGAGCCGAGCGAGAGACCAGTCTCGATTCCCAGCCGATCCGTTCCCGATTCTCGCTCGTTGCCTGTCAGCCAAGCGCGCGCAGCGTACCACGATCGCACAGCACGGATCACCACCTTCGAAATCGAGTTTTACCCCCTCGCCGTTGTTCGTTACGAAATTGCCGACGAGAGGGCATATTTTGCCGCCGTTTCCTCGCCGGTCTCGCGACATGTCGCTGGATACCGGACCAGCTGGGGATGCCACGTGATATTCGTCGCGTTTTGTGTTTTCTATTCGCACAGCTCGTGATCCGTTCGATTTTCTCGGAATTTTGTGCATCCTCGATCGTTGCCAGTGCCCGGCAGACGTCAGTGTGTACACTTTGAAAAGTATCTAGGTGACGTTAACGCAGATGTGTTCTGTCTTTCGAGTATTATAACATTTATAACACGTCCCTGAATTCTCTGGGATTAGCGCGGTTCGAAATTAAACTCGGACAATCTTTTTATTTTTGCTCTCATCGTTATCGATTTTCTTTTCATGCACGTTTTCGATGGACCGTGAATTCGATGGTTACACGCCTGTAATGAAGAACACTACGAAACGGGGTCGCGTGACGCGTTAAAAGAATGTTTCGAAATCTTTTCGATAGGACTGCGCGGCCGTAACCTGTGACACAGTGTGCCGGTTCTTTTGTTCAGTGCCGGCCGTTTCGAGGATCGAACACAGGGCTGTTCGAGCCGTTTTCTGTGCCCGCGTCCAGACTCTGTATTTCTGGGATTCACGAGATCAACCGAGTCGACAAGCTGGACGCGGAGGTTGGAGGCGGCGGCGGCCGCAGGGGTGTCAGCCCCCCGACCCACCTTGGCAACATAAACGTAAGGTTTCGCCTCAGTATTCGTAATAATATTGTACTTATTCGGGTGTCTGTTTATTTGTGATAATTGTCAGATCCATAAATTCGATCTGTATATTAACGATTTTCTAAATTGCACTTCATTACGGAATCTCCTTAGGATTTAAGTTTCGGTCGTCGACGCTTTAACGAGGTGTGCAATTACAACCACTCGTTATTACTGGTTTCTGTTACGAATATTACCTTGTAGATCAAACGGTTCGTACAGAACGACGAATCGATCTTTCGTTTATCGGCAGCGATTGCACGTTTTCCCGGGCTTTTACTATAATCGCGCTCGTTGCATGAAATTATGCATAATAAACGGAGTTTCTACGTACCGGCCGTTCCATTGCGATTCGTCACGGACACCCCAACTAGATGTGTCGTGACAATTTGCGACCTTTGACAAGCACAGTTATAATTGGCGTTCCTTAAACGGTCGACGAAGTGTTAGTTCCCACGATTTTAATAGTTCAACACACGACGAAGGGTCATTTTACGGTTTGATGATAGGTGATTATCGACAAGGGAAACGCACGATACGGCGACAAAAGTGAACCATCGATACGTTTACCTGGGCAGTTTTATGTTTAGTCGCCCGAGAGATCGGCGTAAAATTTACTCGTTAAAGGAGAGATCGATATCGACGAGAGTCCTCGTAGCTAATCGTAGAACCCCGGTCGTACAAACTCGCCAAGAGAGCTGCTGGTCAGTTTTCACCGACATAGTAAACGTTACTATGTTGCTACGCCCGTTTCACGCCCACCATACATCAAGCGTTATGCGCAGACCTACCTGCCGAACGTGTACAAGCCGTTCCAAAGGTGCTGCGCCCTGTGGTTCCAACAAATTTCCATTGCGAAAATTCCACGCGAGGCCAGCTTCTCTACTGTACCTATTCGTAACGTGTTTATCGTTTTATGTTTGCAAGAATGTAACTCGAAGAACAGACACAGTTTTCAGGATTTTACGCGGTGGACGACTTTCTATATTATTTGCTATTCATTGCAGGGCGTATAGTTGCGTTACAGCTGATCGAAGAGAAAGGTGGAGTCGAATTTTCAAGCGGTTAGTCCACAGAAATGGTGCCTGATTTTTACGCGTAGGAACGCGGATGATTTGGGAGCTTGTGAAACGATCTGTAGGTAGCGAAGGAGAGTAGGCCATTCGGTCGAGTTGAAACGCGGCAGAGCAGACGGTCGAAGGGCAAGAAACACAGTGCCGGCACTTCGCTGACACACCTCCACACAAATCTAATTAATTTATATCCTGAGAGAGGCGCCACTCGGGATGTCTAAGTCCGACAGGAAAAAGAAACGAGCAAAGAGGAGGATACCCGTGGTACCGGCTTTCGCTTTCGACTCGCGAGAATCAATGGGCCCCGACTCTACTACGGCAAAGGGTTCCTCGAGTCCTTCTCGAAAATTCGACATTTCGTTTCGACGGCACGATTTTACACGCTCCGTATCCTAGTCTAGGATCAGAGGTAACGGGAATATAACAAATTCAAAAAATTACTTCAAACTCGTGAATACAATTCGTCCCATAATTATAATTTAATTCGTCCACGTTTTTTTTTTTATAGCGTTCTTCTTTTACGCTTTCCCATAAAACTCTGCCGAAAATACGAGAGGCATTGACATGGTCGACCACAGAACTATACTCTTTCACTCTCTCTTGTACAAGTAATCAGCTGTCTCTTGTTATTAACAGCTCATCCCTTCGCTTGATACGAAACGCGACACGACGTTCGCAAAAGTTCAATATCACACATCTATACAGCATTCCATATTGCAAAATTACACGAAAATTACCCTAGGACCAATTTACATCTAGTTACCCCATCGATAAAACCAACACAACATTGTTAACGATCACTTTAGCTGTCACATCCGACGTGGCAGTTTTTGTCACACGAGCACCGTAGATCGTAGTGTAAACGCGACTTGATTTATTCCACGTTATCCGCGTTTGATTAACAACGCCGCGCAAATAACAGCGTTACGCTGCAAAACGTTATGTATTTCTTTTTATCGAACGCGAACGCGGGTTACCGATAAAGGTGCGTATCGAGGCGTTTTAAAATTACACCAACCGTAAATAAGCGAACACAGGTTCGCGATAAAAAAAAAAGGGGGTGGGGGGGAAGGTGCCAGGAGTAATTACCTGTTTACATCGCGCACGGTGTTACGCGTCCAACGAACTTATCGTTAATCGAGACGACGAAGGCGGGCGTAAATTTGAAACATTCGACAACAACCGCGACGACGCTCCGAATAACTGTCGGTTACATTGTCGAGGGGGTAGGGAGGATTGACGGGAATTATAGAATGGA